CTCCTCTCTCTCTCTCTCTATTAACAGCTCTACCATTTGAGTTCATCCCACTAACGCACCCCCCTCCTCTCTCTCTCTCTCGCTGACAAGACCTCTTCCTCTATAAAACTATCCTACTAACTGATACCCCCACCTCCACTAACGCTCCTTTCTCTCTTCAAGAGTTCTCCCGCCTTTGGAGATGGCCAAGAGTTCTTCAAGCCCAGAAGATGAATTCCTCAACATTGAGGAAAACAAAAATAGCAATCCCCAACAGAGCAGCAGCAACAACAGGGGTGGTGCTTTCAAGAGAAGCCAAAGAAGCTGTTCTCAAGAGCAAAAGAGCCCCACTTCTCACTCTAGCACAATGAGATGGATGCGGGCTTCGCGATCTCAGCAAAATCCCTGGAAAAGGGGGGTTAATTCAAGATGGTGGTGCTTTGGCTTCTCCTTTCCAAAGGGGGTGTTACAGATTATATTCCTTCTTGGTTTTATTGTTTTTGTGTTTCTTGTGGTGGAGTCATTGATGATGAAAAGGAGCTCTAGATTAGGATTTATTGGACATCCATTAGAGACTGGACCTTTCAGTTTTGCTGCTCCACTAAGATTCTACTCCTTTGAACTCGATCGACGCTTTGCCGAGAAGGGTCGTGAACTAGAAATATTGCGTGAACAACCGCGACTTGCAGTTCGCCCTCCTCTTCTTGCCATTGTATGTTACCCATCTTTCTCTTTACTTCCCATTCTGTTTTGCTTCATGTTCTGTATGTTGATTTAGTATTACTCTCTCCTCCTTGCTAAATGGCTTCAGTTATAGTTTCTCTTTTAATATATGGGAGAATTGTATGATTGATCAGAACTACTTTGCTGGGATTTGCCCTTTTCTGCAATCGCTGTAGATGTGTTTTTATGTGAAAGTATTGTGATTGGTGCATCCCGAGACCCTAATAATTTGGATTGAATGAGAGAATTATGTGGATGACTTGAAATTTTCCTGCAGGGTTTTGTTATTTTCTACATTTTTTTTGATGTCTTCTTATGTGATTAGTGAAAACCAGAGGATAATACGACACTAATGTTCTGGGGTGATTGAGAGAATCATGTAGATTATTTAATGAATGTGATGGGAATACTGAAATATGGTCCAGACAGATTGAGAGATTTGTATGGATTGATGGAGTTTACTTTGCTGGAATTTGTTAGAGGTGCATTGTTTGGGACTTTCTTCTTATGTGATATGGAATCTCAACGATAATGTGATTGTAATTGTCTCGAGCATTGAGAGAATTGTTTGGATTGTTTTGAATTTGGTGCATAGCGATTTTTCCTTTCTGCATTCATTGTAAATGTCTTTTTATGTGATAGGAATATAGAGATTACTAAAAGCTTGTGACTAATGCGAAACTAATGATCTGGGTTGATTGAGAGAATATGGTCATGCATATTGGGAAACCATTTGATTAATGTGACACTGATGTCTTCATTTGTTAACAAATTGTATGAGCTCATTGCATTTGATGCAGTGGAATTTGTTTTGTGCTCGATTCTTTATCAATGTCTCCTACAAGACAAGAAAGCATGGATTCATAAAATCTTGTGAATAATGTGAAACAAAGAGCTTGTAGGTGTACTACTTTATCAGCAAAATCTTTTTGTCTTCAACATGATGAATGCCTTCTGTGATAGGATGGATTTAGCTGCACCTACAGTGATGTAGTTGAGAGCATTGTTATGCAAACTTCCCCAATGAATGTGCTTTCTATATAACTGTAACAGGTTTAGTAGACAATCTAAGAATTATAGTGTCATATGGATGCACATGGCCACACACACACACACACACACACACACAAAGAAGCATGCTTTTGTTGATAAATCTGCAATGAACATAACAACTGCTATTAAAAGATTCAAGAAATAATTTGAAGTTGTTTGTACAATTTGACATCTCATTGGTGAAGATGATCATACATTGTACATCAATGACATGATGCATCCATCGAGTCAATTATTCCTACAACAATACATGCATGTACTGGATGACACAAGTCGATACTAAGCTTGGTGAAGAAAGGTCAGTGCAGTAAAAAGATGTTGGAATCATATAATCTAGTTGCATTTGTTTCTTTTAGAGCCAATGTTTGATAGAAAAGGTTGGAAGTTGTGAGTCAACCCCTCAATCTCAAGCAATGGTGCTATTGACGACTTGCTATCCGTATTAGTCTCATATCTCTGTCTTCAGAAATTCAGCTCTTGTTAACGAGTGAAAGGAGAGACGTAATTCTTGTTATTTGCTTCGTATGGTGTTGAAGGAAGAATTAGGAAGTTGGACTTTTGATACAAAGATATGAAGTTGTAGGTTAGGTAAAGGCTGGATGTCATCTTGCCAATGACAAGTCATTTCCTTCTGAGCAACTGGCTTATGCAAGGATTTCTAGGAAAACAATATGGTGGCACCAACTATGACTCATTAGACATTGATGCATGCACGTATTACTCTTAAACAATCATGTAAGTTGAAATGTGTTTCCATCCTTTATTTGATTTATAAAGATTGGCAGATGTTCAAAAAGATGGATTCGACTGCCTAGCCGCCTAGGTGGCCTCCTAGGCGGGCGCCCAGAGATAGGGTGCCCTCACCGAAATCACCCCAAACACAAAAAACAGGGGATTTCTTAGGGCATAGTTGAAATCCTTTGGGAGTTTTTAGGGCAATTTTAGTGCCCCAAACTTCTCGTGATCGTGAAATAGATGAAAACATAGTAGTAGAACAATACAATACTACAATGAGTACAATCACATAACCTATTTACTGATGATATAAGTGTCAAAGATATTGTAACTTGTAAGGCATTAAAATGCTTGAAATCCCAAATGTCATTGTAGGAAACTAGAAGTCCATATTAGAAACGAATCAAAGCTACAGTCATACACAAAGTCAACAAGGAAAAATCAAAAAACAAATACATCAAGTCATCAACTAAACAACTCTATGGCGTCAGCGGCGTCACCATGCATGGTGTTCAATTGGATAATGAGGGGCATTTAATGATGATGTTGCCATGCCATCATCATCAGAGTCATCGCTCTCTTAATGTCAACGCCCTCTTCCTCTTCTTTGTCACTGCCTTCCCTTGTTGGGCCTTCTCCTCCCCCTTCCCCTTCCCCTTCCTTTGGCTTTGACTCAGTTTGAGCCCGAGTGGTACGCGCAGGGGGCATTGCTGTCCCAACAGCCTCACGAACTTGGTCCCATGTCAAGCCCTCTTCAGGGAAAACCTCATCATCACTGGCAACGACCAGCCACTCGCATGTGTCATCAATATCATGCTTCAATAGCCTCCCTTTGATTTTGCTCCAACGGTTGATGGCTAAGACCTGACCAACATAGAATTCCTTAAGTAAATTATTCTCAAAAATCAATGCATTAAAAATACTCAAAATAAGTAACAAATAATAAAAAAAACTAGTATAATACTAAAATGTATACCTGAGTATGACTGTACAAATAAACTGTGACTTTCTTTGCCTTTTGATGGTTGTCATGAACGTCTTCCTCTTACCAATTGCCTCAAGCATGAGGTCTATGCAGTGTGCTGAATAAGGGAAACAAAAAATATGCATCAACAAAATCTGGGGCTTGTTGTTTCTTGAATCGTTAATCTTTGTAAGGGATGCCGATTAGGATTATCCACTATCAAAATATTTTGCTTTATGTGTATCTGTTACTGAGCTTAGATATTACCTTAGACAAGATCGCTATATACATGTATATATATGTGTGTATGTACACACATATACATACATATATATACATACATGCATATACATATACATACATATATACATGCATACATACATATACACATGCATACAAACATATACATTTGATGAATATCAAGATCTAGTCCTAGTTACACATATACATACATACATGCATATATTCGCATATGTATATAGCTCTCGCCACGATGAAGAATGTAGCGAAATGCGATACTTGGTGTGAATTGCAGAATCCCGTGAATCATTGAGTCTTTGAACGCAACTTGCACCCGAGGTCGTAGGTTGAGGGCACGCCTGCCTGGGTGTCATGCCAAATGCCGCCCCCTCCTCACCCCTGCACCCTAGTGCAAGGGCTCGGGGCGCAAGATGGCCACTCTTTCCCCTCGTATATATGTGGATGTATATGTGTATGTATATGTGTATGTATATATAGCGATTTTGTTCTATATACATACATACATACATACATATATACACATAGATCTTGATATTCATCTTTATGTGTGTATATGTGGATGGCTTAGATCTTGATATTCATCAAATGGATGGTCTTGATATTACATGAAACAACATTGCTAAATACATGTATACGTATGTGTGTATATATACACATGTAAATACATACATATGCATACATATATATAC